AGTAGCAGCAGCAGCAGTAGCAGCATCAAACAGTGCAGGTTGAAGACACCAAACCTCAATGGACGGGACGGAAAGGGTCGAAAGGGTCTTGTTGGCTTGAATCCGGGCGCCTTGCTTGCGGTACCAAGGTACTTGACTGGCCTATAACGACTGGCCGCAGCTGGCAAGCTTCCTCAGGCAGGTATGGCAGATGTGGCAGGTATCCTCATTTTCCGTACTTTCCTGGGCTATTTTGCTGTGAGACTACGGCTGGGCAATAGGATTGGGTGGACTTGGTTTTGGGACCGCAGCTCCACCAGAAGGGGGCACGTGTGGGCCTGTTGCTATTCTGAATCCTTGGAAGGACGTTTAACTGGCTGGGCCTAGTATTGGCTGCGTCTCTTCCTCCACGTCCTGATCCTCTCTCTGCCTCTCTTCGTACCGGATGCGAGACCCAAAGCTGACAGCGACAGCGAGAAGTTTAAAAAGCTGCGTCGACCTCCAGCCACACACCAACCTACGACGACAGGGCGAAGTTGGTGGATGTCGGCAGGAATGCCCGCTACGCCACTCTCGGTCAGTCAGCCTGCAGCCTGCCTGCATTTTCCCCTCAACGCTAGACACAGTCGCCAATCGAACCTTCAATCGAGACGTAAGGGGCGGACGGACGTCTCGCACGGAATCTCGGGACCCCGTCACATTTAGCCTCCTCTGACACGAGCCAACTTCAGAGTCCGCCTCTGCTCAATGCCCATACGGATAGGCAAGTCATAGGGCACAGAGTATCTGCACCCGTACTGTATGCCCGCTCAGACCCCAGTGGCTCCGACGACCACTTAGCCGACGCCAGGGCCAGCGTGTAAAACGGCCAATACACCAATACACGAGGACGGACGATAACAATGGAGACCACGCAGCAATGCCCGGGCTATTGAGCAAGGTTTGATCAGGGTAGGACTTAAGCATCATCTCCCGTTCGATGACAGAACCTGTTTCCCCTTGGCCAGTTACCTCTTCTGAGTCGTTTCCCCCCGATGATCTGTGATTACCTGTGGAGTACGGATATGCTACGGATACTCTCGCTCATCCCAAGTGAACAGACGAAATTTGACCCAACCACGGCATATTCTTTCACCCCAGTAGCCCCCGGCATTCTCCAAGATGCTGAAGAACCTGATCAAACAAGATCCATTTTCAATTCCAACAGTGGCTGGGGTCCCCGTATGCGTATAGCGAGGAAACAACTCGATAACACAGTGTCCCCCCTATTGTGGCTACCGCGTGTGCTGGGCCAACGGTCCTACTTGTAGAGCCAGTGGTCCAGACAATCCGAACGTCCAATGTCGTCCACTCGTTCTCCAGGGCAGACATTCCAATCCCAGCCCGGCCCGGTGCTGGACCCACCCGAATCTAGACGGACCCACCGGGGGAAACTTCACTCTTCAGCACTGACCAACGACTCGCCGCCCTGCGACGTTGCGTCACTTCCAGCTGCCGCCCTTTTCAGCCACACCTATTATCATATCTTATCTCGGCCTTATCACTTGCGACACCAGCCACTCGTCCCTCTCTGCCTCCCAGTTCCCTCTAGCATCATCAATACGGGCAGCCTTTAGCAATTGCGACTTCAACACTACCGACGACAGATCTACCCACCGAATCCAAACCCATCCCCACAATGGTCTGCACAAAGTGCCAAAAGCTCGGCAAGGGCTCCACGACCCTCGCGACGCCCTCCGTCAAGAAGAAGAGCGAAATCTACCACGGCTCCTCGTCCTCGTCCTCGTCTTCCTCCGCCACCAAGTCCGCTACGCTGGGCACGACTGGCATCGGCAAGAGCAAGCTCCTCTCCAAAGCTGCCAAGAACCCCTATGCCCAGTACTCGAGCGCTTGCTCAAAGTGCAAGACAAAGGTTTCCCAGGGCCACTCACTCTGCCAGTCGTGCGCCTACCGAGCCGATTCGTGCGCCTCGTGCGGGAAGCCGAACAAGAAGGCCAAGGGGGCTGCCCCTTCGATTGCTGGACAAAAGTTTACGTTGAAGTGAAAGGGCGACAGATTATGGACGAAACGTGCCATTGCGTACATCATAACGAACCAATATTGTCGAAACAACCTAAGACGATGCCCTGGCGACGCGCACCTTGCCTGCAACCAGAAGATAGGAGCCCAGTGGTCTGCTGGGGCAAAGAGCCGCAACGACGAGGCATTGCACTGCGGCCTAGACTCTGCGCCATTAAAAAGCTCACTCACATCGCGGTGCGCGGCTCATTGTGCGCCAGGTCTGACGGGATACAATAGGTGGCAGGCCCTCAATACTAGTCTAGTTGAGGGTAGGAATCTGGCACGAATCAAGAAGGCCAAGCACGACAGACAGTCCCACGACATCTGACATCACTGCTTCATCCCAATCACAAGGTAACAACAGTGCGAGATACAGATAGGCATAGCTGCAAAAGAGACCTTGAACGATGAATCACCACAATGACTTTGTTTGGTCAAATTATGAATTCATTCTACATTGGCCGTTCACTAATCGTGCTCGAAACTGTGGTTCATCCCAGTCTGTCATAAATATAAACGTTAACGTCAAATCCAACCTCCTGCGGTCCTTCCTTCAAGAGCCACATTTCTTCTTTTAGCTGTCTTGCTTCAAGAAACAAACTCACAACGACGCTGTTGGCTTCTTGTCGACCTTGCTCTCGATCCACGCCTTGATCTGCTTATTCACCTCCTCGGGCGCCTCCCACAACGCCCAGTGCGTAGCCGTCACCTCGCCCCTCGACAGGTCCTCAAAGTGCTTGTCCATGCCCGCCGCCATGGCCGGCGGCAGCGCCGCGTCCTTTGTCGCCGAGATGAAGAGACTGGGCGGCGTCACCTTGTACGCCTCGCCGCTCTTCTCCGCCGCCTCGGCGAGCGGCAGCTCCTCGTCGTGGTTGATCTTGCGCGTGCGGTACCAGTTGGTGGGGCCGCGCATGCCCGACGTGCTAAAGTTGTCGGCGTAGTACGCAATCTCCTCCTCGGACAGCAGCGGCGTGGGGCCGATCTTGCCGATGTTCTCCCAGATGATGCCCCTCTCCGTGTTGAAGACGAGCTCGCCCGCGGGGCCTTTACCGCCGTAGATGCCCTGCAAAAACTGCCGAATGTCCTCGGGCTTGGTGAGCTTCTCGGGCACCTCTTCGCTGCGCAGCTGGAGCTGGTACTTGAAGTTGGTCAGGCGGCCCGCGGCGATGACGTCGGCGAGGTCGAACCAGGCCGTCGTGGGCGCGTTGTAGGGCGTGCAGACGCTGAAGACGCCCTTGATCAGGGACGGGTGCCACATGGCGAGGCGCCAGACGAGCGCTCCGCCCCAGTCGTGGCCGCCGAGGATGATCTGCTCGCCCGGGATGATGCTGTCGCAGAGCGCCTTGATGTCGTCCGACATGCTCTTGAGGGAAAAGGCCTCGAGCTCGGCCGGGGAGGACGTCTGGCCGTAGCCCAGGGTGTCCGGGACGATGACCTGGTATCCCTGGGCGAGGAACATGGGGACCTGGTAGCGCCAGCCGAGCGAGATGTCGGGGAAGCCGTGGATGAGGACGACGGAGCCCTTGGGGGTGGCATCGCCCTCGGGCTTGCTGAAGAGGTAGGAGTAGGTCTTGCCCCTGACCTCGGCCTGCTTGCGCTCGACGCGCGGGTCGTTGGGGGCGATCTTATCGACGGCCATCGTTGGTGTGTGTATCCGGATATCGGTATGCGAGATTTCCGTCTGGAGTGAGAGCTGTCAGAGGCCGTAGCGAAGAGCGGGAGGAGAGAAGGAGGGGCAGCTAGTGAATGGCGGGGCCCGCGGTAGTCTTATACTCACGTTGGCGCTCGACGTCTGCCAAGAAAGAGACCCTTGCTATTACAGCTCAGGTACTGATTGTAAGCTTTCTCACAATGCTATTGCGGGGGATAATGCAAGACAAGCTGTATATGCGTGTTTGTGTGAGTGTGTATGTGCAGCTTCACCGACACCTATCACACTAGACTTGTTGGAAAGGTAAAACTACTTATACCATTCGAGGTATCGCCGAGTCTCCGAGTTATGGAGACAAGTATTGCACTTTGAAACTCGCCAGATTGCTTAGAAAGCTACAGAAACTGGCCACCTAAGAGAAAACATACGAGCGGTGTACTTTAAGCCTCGGCATGGCTTGTCCCATTTTCGGGCTCTACCTCAATGCAGTACTTCGCACACAGGATATCATCGACCTGTCTGCACCAAGCTCTGGGTCCAGCGTATGGGTCGCATGGTGAGGGGCACGGCTTGAGTTGACAGGGGATCTAACGTGCGGCGAGCGGCGGCATTGGCGAACGGCGTGGCCGGGAATCCACCCGCGCGGGGCATCGCCTTTGCTGTCCATCGGAGTCCCTTGATGGAATCGTCCTAGCGGGCCCCGTCCGTGCTGTTGCGATGCCTCGGTCCAGGGACAACTTGAGACAAGGGGACTCGCCATTGTCGGACGGTACTCGAAACGGGGGTTGATCAGTATTATCTTCTCCAACAAATCGCATAGTTCAGAGTTGGAGATCGTATTCTCTTCACCCGAAAGCGTAAGCTGCTAGTCCAGACGGAGGACTACGATTCTTCAACGGCGAGGAACAGCAGCTGTTCTGGATTAAGAGGTCCCACCAAGCTAAAGCAGGAGAACGTCACCGGTCTTATGCTTGAGTCAGAGAGCATGGCTCGACGAAGTAAACCTTTCAGTCGGCGAACAGCGAACAAAGTTGGTCTAAATCCCGGTTCTGGACCCAAGCTTCTTTTTTTTTTTTTTCAAATATCACCATGGGCACCTTTCCCAAGTAAACGCCGCTTTAAATTCCAATTGGTATCATAAAAACCCCAACTCCGCCTTCAAACTCGCGCGCGAAGCCAGAGAAAATAACATGCCTCCCATATCGCCGAATGTTATAACAATCACACAAACTACCGCGGTATTGGCGTCTTCTACAATGAAACGCCGGGGTAGAAAAGATGGGAAACCACCGCTTGCTTTTGTCAGGCATTAGTAGATAACCATATCTTCGTCGTTTTCCACGACATCACCAGGTTCGTCGTGTGTCTCCCGCTCATGTCTGTCTCTGTCGGGAGACGCAACTATGTGCTCGGTAGCTGCGGGAGGATCAGCAGAAACCGCTGGCGGAGCCTCTGCTGGTTGTTCTTCTGTGACCATTGTCATAGGCTCCTCCTGGACCATGGTCGGCGGCCTGGCGCGGCCGTGACGTCTCTCGTGTTCTTCTTTCCGATCTTTGAACGCTTCGAGTTCTCTCGCGATGGCGTTCTTGGCGTCTTGCACCTGGTCGTCAATCTCGTCCTCTTGTTCTTTGGTAAGCTTCCACGGCCGATAGTACTGCAACACGTCAGCTGATGGCTTCCCCCCCCCTTGCGCAACGTGCAATACGCACAATTGACGGTCCTGCCTTCGTCCGGAGAGATTGTGCCTTTGCGAGCATGTTGGCATGGCGGGTTTTCATCTGCGGTAAAGGAAAGCTTATAAGCACTTGGACGAGGCTCTCAAGGGGAAGAGAGGGGCAAGCACGTACGACTTTCTCGTCAAACCAGATCTGCTCCTTCCACCGCGCCTCGGTGATCCGCGCGAGCTTCTCCGTCCGTCTCTTCTCGTCTTCTGCCCTCTGTTTCTGCGCCTTCTCCTGCTGTCGCTGCTCAATCTCCCTCCTCTTCTTGTGCTGCGAGCTGGAGTTGGTCTGGCTGAGGGTGCTTAGGAGACCCCCGAACAACCGCTTACCCCGCTTCTTCTCTTCATCCCTTGATAAAGGCGCTCGTCGGGCGGTACTGGCTCGGGGATCTTCGTCGCGCGGCCTCGAGTCCTGTGCCGAATCTTGTGCGGGTGGGTCGCCGTGGTCGCCGTGGTCACCATCATCGAATTTTGCTCTTTTTGACGATTCTTCCGCTCCATCAAGGGACTCTATAGACGCTTTACGCTTTTGTGTAACCTCCATTTCAGAGCCCGCGGGTTCGGGGTTGATGGTGTCGGCAGGTGCCCTGAAATCTGTAAGCTTCTCTTGCTCGGTCCGAAGGGAGCCGTTTTTGCTGTACTCCGTAACAGTGGCCATGATGTTGTCGCTTCCCACAGCCGCAGTCGCTGTCTTCTCGGCAACAATGTCAAAGAAGGCAGAATGCGAAGGAATGCGGTGTGTACGAAAGGAAGTGAATCCGCCTCGGTCTCATGGTAGGTATCCCAGAGCTTGACAGCTCCAACCCGAGCTCCAAGGCTGAGGTTTGTCAGCGGGGTCTAGCCACTCGGAGGGACGAACCCACAGACTACCCCACTTCGGCCGGATCAGACAAGGGTCCGCACCAATGACTGACAGAGAACCGAGAGGAAGAAGTGGCGAGGCTGACAGGCGCGAACGTCTTTTCTCCAAAGGTTCCTGGTAAAGAGAGGGTACGATAACTATCACCTCCCGCGACCCGCAAGACAGCTTCAACCAAACCTTATACATACCGGAGGCGCTTCTCTCACAGATTGCCCTTCATGTCGCGCCATCACCCGTGAGCCATTCCCCAGTCATTCTCCTCAAAATTAAATTCACAAGCTAACAATTCCCGCCAGCGATCTCGTAATGTGCCGCAAGCAAGCCGGCATCGCCATCGGCCGCCTCTGCGACAAGTGCGACGGCAAGTGCCCCGTCTGCGACTCCTACGTCCGCCCCACGACCCTCGTCCGCATCTGCGACGAGTGCTCGTTCGGAAACTACCAAAACAAGTGCGTCGTCTGCGGCGGCGAGGGCATCTCGGACGCCTTTTACTGCTTCGAGTGCACGCGCCTCGAAAAGGACCGCGACGGGTGCCCCAAGATTATAAACCTCGGCAGCTCCAGGACCGATCTGTTCTACCAGAAGAAAACCAATCGGACGGCGACGTACTAGCCCCTGCGTCGCCCGGGATATGGGCAAATTTGATATGTTGTTTTGGTTACGAGGAGACGGGAAGACTACAACGTTTCCGTGGAACAGGTATCGCATTGCCTGCGGCGTTTGGTGTGTTTTGATTCACAGATATGGGACAAGGGTTTTGCGGCATAATTGGGAACAAGCCAGACATGATGATCTCTTTCTAAAGCGGCATGAAACGGTTTCACCAAACAAAAGAAATGCTTCATTTTGCATAAATATCAAAAAGAATGGCCAAAAAATTAGGCCAATGTTCATCCAAGTTCGTATAGTACAGTGAGGTCAAAGCTAGCCAAGTACCCGCGTCGTAATCATATGTAGCTAACCTTGACTCCCATTCCCGCGGTCGCCTTGACCTTATTCCAACCATTACCAAGCACTCGCTGTATCCGTTCGCGGACGTTCTTCTGCCCAAACATGACGACCAAACCCAAAATAAAGGCCACGAGCCGCATCAGCAGCATCGGGTTCGTCTTAAATGATGCTCCCAGCTGGTCAATCACCTCGCGCATCCGAGAGATGACCATTGACGCCCTCGTTCCAAAGGTCGGCGGAGCTGATGATTTCCCTTTGGCCCTAGAGACGGGCATCTTCGAATTAGAGTTGGACCCTGATGTGTTGGAAACGGCCCTGGCGTGACGTCCCTTGCTTGACCCCGCCTTGCTCGAGCCTGCTTTACTCGGTGTCTTTTCGATGCCGTAGTCCCCTTCGGCGCCTTCTCTTCGTGCCCTCTCTTCCTCTAACCTCCGTCGTTCCCTCTCTTCATTTTCGGCTCTCAACTTCTTCGCCTCCTCAATATCACGCCGAAGCTGCTCTTCCTGCTCGCGTCGCTCTTCCGTCTCTCGCCTCTCGGCTTCCTGCTGTTCCTCCTGCAGGCTTTGCAGAGCTTGCAAAAACGCCTCGCGGCGCTCGTCATCTAATACCGAGCTAACGCTGATAAATTCTCGGGCATAATCCCATTCGTTATTGCGGATAAGTACGTGGAGCGTGTACAGCTCAAGAATCTTGACCCTCGCATTCAGATCCCTCGGTGTATCCGCTCCACTGGTGGCCTTAGCCGGAGACCTATGCCGGTTCAGCCGTGGTGACGGCGACGGCGAGTCGGAAAATCTCTTGGAGAAGTCCAGATTTGGTGATGTGGCGGCTGCGAGATAGCTCTCGAGCTTCCTTTGGTTCAATTCTTGTGTCCGGGCGTGGGCTAGTAAAAGTGTGGCGCTACGTTGTTGTTAGTGTATGTTTGCGACAGGAAGGGAAAAAAATAACGACAGAGAAGGCATCTTACAGATTAATGACAACGTCCGAATCGACGTCGCTCTCGACGCCGTGGTATCCGTTGCGTACGACCTCCTCCCAGACGTCTCCTTCTCTGACTTTGGTGCACAGCGCTCTCCACTCCTGGCTCCCAAACGCATCCTTTCCTTCGTCCGGCTCCAGTTCGACGATGGCGTTGAGCGTCGTCAGGTACAAGCTCCAGACCTTGATCCTCGTGGATCGTGATGCTCTGGCGACGGGCGCTGGTTCTTCTGCGCCGTTTTCCGACTGTCCCGAGGGCGGGGTGATCAATGGCAAGATGGTTGATAGTGCCTCGGGTAGACGGCGGGTGAGGAAGAGAGTTGAGGCCTGGCGGTAGGTCTTTGAGATTTGCGAGGTATGGCGCGCTGAGGTCGATGAGGATAGAGACGAGATAGAGCTCGCGAGCATATGCGGTGGGAATGTAGCGGTGGTCTCGGAAGAAGCGACCGTGGGACTCAAGGTCGCCGTGTAGGAGCCATTGAGGGACGACATGTTGGCGGGCATTTAGGAGCGGGAGGCAACAGCAACATGCAACGGGGTCAATTTGTCGGCATTGAAGAGCCCCAGGCAGAGGGAAATGAGGGAAAAAAGAACGGGGACTATTGTTATGTATCCGACGTGCGGAGAATGGCGGCCATCATACGCGTTCCTGCTCAAATGCCACCTGCGGGTTGTGAAAAGAGCCGCGACATGTGGATGTGGTTAGATTCGGATTCCTGGGCGTTGTGGTGGTGGTGTGTGGTGTGTGGTAGTGGTGGTGCTGAGGTAGCTGGGGGTTGCTGGAGAATGGAATTGGAGTCTGCTGACAGACAAACATGCCGATTACCGCAGCACCTGCACAGCTGCCCGGGACAGGCACGTACCGGCACTGTTACACTTTTCGGCCATGGCCCAAGTTTAGCCTCGGTTTGTTTCTTAGTGGGTTCCCCCCCAGCTTCTGCGTTGCTGCGTTGTATGCTGCCGCTGGGGGAGGGGGGGGGGGGGGCTAGCCAGCTGACCGCCAGAGCAGGAGGGGAGCGAGCGATAAGCGAGTACCGGTGACGTTGTTGCTGGACAGCTCACATGTCAAGTACCTCTTTAGCCTCCACGAGCGTGGCCTTCTCCCGGCGTCCGGCCTTCTTGAACTTTTCATTGGATGGAATTTCCTGATCGGGGAGGACGCTGTGCCTGGGTCGGAGAAACAGGGGTTGCCCTCGACGACCGGCCGAGCTTTCATCTCACCTCCCGGAGATCACCAACCATTTAGAGACGATCGTCTCATGCTCGCTGCGGCCTGTCATTTCAAATCTTCGTGTTGTATACAACCCGCCAAGTCGGGACTCCCTTCTCGATCACTGCTTTGCTTAGCTGCGTCTATTATGATATCCTATTAATTACCCCTCTCAATTGTCAATCGCAAGTTTGCGCGAACGCGTTCAGGGTTTAGACTTTTCTGGCCCCCCTGTGCTTCCCCAGATTGTTCCGAGGCATCTCGCGGGAGGCAGAACCACCCGGCTCCCGAGGAGAATGTCATCGCCATTTAGCCCCTGACGCTTACATCGGTGTATTTCCTATTATAGTCATCAAGTGACCGTCCACCTCTCATGGCTGGCACCAAAGTGTCTTTATGGTGCGCAGCACACGTGGAATTGTCTTCGTCGCGGGGTTCTAGAACCGGATCATCTTGCGTGCTAGGAATCGCCGAGCAGCTTCAACATGCAAGGCGTATAAGCTGATGGAAAAGGGTGACCTTGGGACAAAATGTGAAACGATCTGCTGAGTGCCGACGTGCTCTTATTGTGCTTTCAATCGAGTATGGATAGGTTCATCTATCGAAACATAGTTTTGCGGGGCGTCTCCAGAAATCCACCAAGGGTCATCCGTCCTCAACGACATTGCAAAATTCATTGTCCTACTCACAAACGCGTCTCCCTGTTCATGAGGCCTCTGCCACCACCAACAGCCAAGGCGCGATTTCGCGTTGGCGCGTACCGCAGACTCTTCAATCCAAGGGCAATCACGCTCCGTCGCCAGCTCGACTCATTAGTCCCTTCCTATGTGAACTGTCTTGCGGGGTGCGATCCTGACCCGGTTGCGAATGCTGTCGAATATCTTCATCCGCCAACTGAGTAGACCCACGTGCTCTTCCTGGATGTTGTGATCTACCCGTGTGCCAATGTGGAAGTCTTGCGGGTAACCCAGGAATCGTGGATCGTACCCAACCGCTGATAGCCATTCTCTGTCGTACAATCTCTTCATCTTGCTCTCGTATGAGGCGCCTCGGCCCCCGAGCCTGGCCGATTCCTCACGGGCGAGTTTGTGGGCAATTCGCAGAAAAACAACTGCCGTCATGTGGCCTAGTCTCATTAGTCGAATCACTTACGGTTCTGCTTGTTCTACCAACTCACTATCGAAGCCAGCCTGATGGGCTGTTCCACGACGTCCATAACCATAAGCTGCATCCCAATGGATGCTTGGCTGCGTTCTATTGTCATCGAACCTGTTATATAGATCCATCAATGGGTCTTCGCCCTCGATCGTGTCGTCCTTGATGGCCAACAACTTCGTGTCTATGATGGATGGGAATAGGTTATGTAGCTTTGCCCGAAACTCATCCAAAGTATCAGGGAGGTTGTCGATGAAGGTGTTGTAAAGGAACAAAAGGTCCATGAATTGGTTGTGTCCAATGATGATTGGCTCGGATCTTCGACCAAAAGCCTCCAGCTCCTTGAGGGCATCTGCTACTTCGTTTTTGAGTGTTTCGGTTGACAGTTCCTCGAGATCTTGACATAAATTGTCCCAACCAGTCGTCTCATACCAGCTAGATGTCCCAGCCGTGGTATTCCGGGTACCGGTGTCGTCCTCTTCGCCCTCGTCATCGGCCGCTCCCCACGAATTGCTTGAAGATTCGCTGCTGTGGAGAGCCGAGTGAGCTCCTTGAGTATCGGTGGTCTGTGAGCGGACGTTATGGAGAGGGGAAGAGTCAGTCCCGGGCTGGCCGCTGCCAAGATCTGGGTAGCAACGCTCGCAGTGAACATCGTACACCCAGGGCGTCCGCTGTTCATCTCCAACTCGACGTCTGGATGAGCCTCGCTTCTTCATACAAGGGCACTTGTCTCTAGTGGCCACGTTTGTTTGGAATGCGACTTCGACGTTCTGTCCTGAGCACGTACTAGAGCAGCCTGTGCCAGGATCGTGATCTGCGCAGCATAAGTGACAGTAGCGATCACCAACTTCTCCCTCTGAATATCCTTCCGAGTGTTCTGGTGACGCGGGATGAAGGTAATCATGAACCTCGTGACAAAAGGCTTGTGCTTCGCCAGGCCATCCAGACATGGCTTCGACAATGAGGTCGGGGTTAATCAGGTCGGCAAATTTGCCGCCGACAAGGGCTTCGATAATCAGTCGAATGCCTTATACCAGTCAGTCGCCGGTGAAACATCACACGTTAAGGGGAGCCCACCTGTGTACTTGCTCAACGATGCGTTGAGATCGTTCTCTAGGGACTCGCGCCTCTTCGCAATTTCAGCTATCACTGTTCTCATCATCGTCATCCGCGCTGGTGTAAACGAACCTCGGCTTCTTGTCCATCGTCCCGCTGAGAGATGATCACGGTCGTGCCGTGATTCCAAAGATGGCAACTCATTCGTGGCACAAGCTCTCGGGCCTTTCTGCGAACGATCTGTTCGTAGACGCTCATACGTTTCTTGCTTTCGGAGTTGGGTAAGAGTAATTTGATCTCTGCAGTTCGCTATCCAATCTTGAGATTAGTATGTACGATAGAAGGGGACGAGAACTTGAGAGGAAGTGTCTTTTTCGGGCACACAAGAAAGGAATAAGTGCTACTTACCATCCATGGATCGGTGTAAAGCCAATTTACAATCGTATTATGGACGTAAATGGAAAACGTAGTCAGGCCTTCGTCATGCTCGTTGTATCCATGATCTCTGGCTTCCCAAGGCTCTTGTCGGCGCTCCATCTGTTGAGTTGCCAAGTGTGCCTCTTCGCGGCTGAGGTACGGAACGCAGTCTTCATAGGTCTTTTCCAGCCGGATGCCTTCCGATCGAAGAAACTTGAGTGTGTTGTATGATACAGAAAGGCTCCTGTCCAAGCCTTTGACGAATGTCTCATCAGCCCGTGTTTCAGTATGGAGGTAGGGGCTGACAGTGAAGCTGTAGGTCTCGGTCTTGTATGTGCCATCTGCGGATCTGTCAGAATACGATGCCGGTTTCTGTGTGGACGGTGGAAATACAAACCCGACGATTTTTCAACACAGGTGATCCCCAGTTCGAAGACGTTGAATTTGGATGCAATGTTCTTGGCTGATTCATAGGTCTGCTGGTTGGTTGGATTGTCGTGTCTGTTTTCCGAGCCCTTGTCCATGATGCCGGTCATCTCGACGTCGATGGCAACGTATCGAGACTTCGCGATTGAGAGCAGAATCTTCGGCAGCTGCCGCCAGAAGTTCTCTGACGAGACTTCCATGTTGGGCGCCGAGATGCTGTCGATTTCCTGGCTCCCAGTCGTCGATTAGTGGTTGGAAAGGAAAGGTAGAAGAAGAGCGGAAGGATGAATACGTTGGCGTAGAAGAAGAAGAGGAGGAATAAGGGAAGGTATGGGCGGCTCACATGGGGGGAAAAAAACAAAACCCATCAAGAGAAGATTGACTTAGGAAGGAGCTCCCCATGTCTGCAAGAAAATAGGGCAAGAGCACTTGATCACTTTGGCAGGGCAGGTCCTTCAGCGGAGTATTTGTCCGTATGTTCCTTCCTGGTTCGTTGATGAAGGTCGAATGGGAACCCTAACAAATGAGAGATACCCTACTAAAAAGGCCGAAGGTCGTTGAACTCTCGCATGGCCGTAGCAAGATGAAGATCTGAAAGGAATAAATGCCCTTCTCATTGAGGTTTTTGATTTGAGGTGCCAAACACGTAACGCCTGTAGCTGATATATCACCATCACATATACTTCATGTCTATTTCCATGTGTAAATGATACGTACATATTGTCAAGTTGAGAAATTATCTCCGCCTTAATGAGAAAAAGATCAAAAAGTTCAACTCCTATCCTTGCGAACAGCGAATCTATGAACACCCCGAGACTCTTACCAGCCTCAAGTGTAACGATGGAGGTTTTCTAACGGCGGTGGGATTCAAACCCACGCACCCGTGGCGCAAGGGGACGCTCCTCGTCAAAGCAGTGCCTCTCTGATCCCATTACGCCACAGACTATTGAAGAAATTCAAAAGAGTTTAGAAGAGGTGGGGTTGAGGCTTGTGGCTGGACGTGGGAGGTCAAGTCCACGAGAGGAAGGAAGGCGCGGGGTGAGGTTAAAGAGGGGGAGCTTGAGAAACGCTGCTATGCGTTTGTCTTTGCGACCTCACCTCCAGAGATTACTGTTTATGGTTATACGACGTAATTGGACACGATATCAAATTGGTAGAAGCAACCTTGCATTGCGTAAGAAGGCATAATACGTGTCAAAACTGGAACTGCGAAGATGATATGCTTTCTTGCGCAATGCAAGGTTGCTTCTACCAATTTGAATTGTGTTTCTCTACATATCTACTTGAATTCCCGTGGCATCGATGGCTTTATGAGTAATGGTAACTCATGTGGGTATGTAAAGACCCAATGTTTCAGCAACTTGACAAACTATGTGATATCTCGAACGACATTCCATTATTGCTGGTAGATTTATCTACTCTTGATTAGCGGTAAGACCAGCATGTATAGAGAGAAAGGTCTCAATTCTCTCAAGTTAATGGAGGATGATATGGTATCTCGTAGGCAACAGGCCATGTTCGCATGCTTCCGAGGCAAAACCATCTCGAACTGACTACGGTTCTCTAGTTCAGGGAGCAGAATTACATGGAAATGCGCATCTAACGCCCCAGTCAAGCCCAACGCCGAAAGCACAACCCGACACAATCAAGCCCGGGCCAGGCAGACACAACATCCAGTGAAAGATTTGATTGTACAAGTTTATCTATGATACAACAGCGTTACACGTCCTCTGAACAGTTCCCCGACAACACTTTGTCTGCTCCCCCATTTTCACCACTTGAGAGAGTTCAACTTGACACATGCCCGGCCGGCCAAACCAAATATGGAGCATACCTCTACCGGTCCACCATCATGCCCCGCACATTGTTGTAGTAACCCGGCTCCAGCACCTCGGCGAGCTCCTCCTTGGTCAGCCACTTGAACTCCTTGTACCCAAACTTGTTGGCCGTCAGGTCCGCCTGGCCCGCCATGATGCGGCCCTTGAGGAAGAAGGTCTTGCTGCCGCGCTCAAACAGCTCGCCGCGCCGGACCTGCGTCTTGGCCACGTGCACGGCGGCCGGGCCGCGGCCGACCATCCACGTGTTCATGTTGACGCCCGCCGTGTCGTCGAGAATTCTCTGCGCAGCCTGTTCCTGATGTCAGCATATATATCAAATATCGAAGCATGGGGAAGGGAAAGGGGGGGGGGGGGGAGTAGGGTAGTGTAGGGAGTGATGGGACAAAACTCACCTCGTGGAGGTTCTCCTCCGTAGACAAGCCCGCCGCAGGAAACTCCCAGACATCCTTCTTGCGACCGGCCTTCCTGACGACGAGGTACAGCGTCCTCTCCATGGCGCGATCCAACCTCGTCTGGTCCCCTTTGATATCCGCCTCCGACACCCGCGGCGCCAACGCCTCGGGCGGCGCCCGATCCTCCTCGGGAATAATCTCCGCGTCGTCGCTCACGCGCATCACGGCGTCCTTGAGCAGCAGCTCCACCGCCTTGTCGTGCTTGCTCAGCCCGTCGCCGACGGCCAGCTCGTCGTCCCACGCCGTCGACGCTTTCCCGTTGTACACGCCCAGCTCCTTGGCGACGGTGCCCTTGCGGTCCTTGACCTTCATGTTCCAGTCAATCAGCGCCGGCGTGTCGGGCTTAAAGTAGACGGACGTGATAAAGGGCATCGTCAGACGCTCGTTGAGGCGCTTCTGGTAGAAGAAGTAGGACTGCTCAAAGTCCGCCAGGGGCCGCGTCAGGAGCGGCGCCCGCGTGAGGATCACGCCTGCTCGGATCGAGGGTGGCGGGATCGTAATGTCTGCCGCTGCGGCCTTGGAGTCGGTTGGTTTGCTGACTCTCGAAGAAGGAGGAGGAGGAGGGGGAGCGTCGGACGTGGTCGTGTTCGTTGCGGCGGCGGCAGCACCCGAGTACGCCCGCGAGGGAGCTGGAGCTCTAATCTGGACCCTCGCGCATTGTCTGCAGACTCTGGGGGTTGCTGTAGGGGGGGGGGAACTCAAAGTTAGCCAATGATCTCAGTGTTGATCTGAAACGTAAACATACATTGTATGCGCCCGAGGGCGGCGAATGCGCCTCTGCTGGAAGCTGTCATCGTGGAAATCGCTGGGTGTACGGGGTCTCCTCCTTGACACCTCAGTCGAGAATCTCCAGATGGGAATTGAACTTTTTTGCTGTTCAAGCTCAGCAGAGGTACGTACCGGATGGCCGGGGCGGCGCTTACCTAAGGTCAGACGCCCGACGAGGTGCACCGTGCACCGGTGCAGCACAAGCTAAATCTTGTGGTGCCTCATATTGTACCTGAAAAGCAAGGTCGATCTTGACAGGCGCCCGGGTCAACATCGCGCCTGACAAGCGCGGGTCCCAATCACGTAAGCAGGGGTAGCGGTGGGACCGCGCAGAGCCTTTATCAACCCGACGCCCTGCCGCCAACTCTTTCACTTCTACTTCTCTTTTCTCTTCACGGCACCATTTCCTTATCGTCGAGACCTGTTCCGCCTCCAGAACGTCCTGATCATTTATTACGGTGCCCAGAGTAAAAAGCAGTCTTTTTTCGCTAGCAGCACCTGCAATTATTCTCACTGGGTTCATGTTAGATAGTTACTGCAAACACATCAGCGCCCTTGACCGCTGTTTAAGAACGGCTGGCTTCTGCTGCCGCATCAGCAGAGTCCAGAGTGGACTCGCGCTATGTGGCAAGCAATGCGTCGCGATGATCGCACACGTGAATTTTCTGCTTTCCACGTTACTTGGTGCTGCTGACTCTACTGTCGCACTTATAGTCCGAGCGTGTCCACGCGCGCTGAGCTTCTCATTGAGAGTCGTAATGTGCATTCGTCGTGTCGTCGTCTATCTACCTACTACAGTACAGAAAGCCTCTCCGGCCTAATCTTGGATCTCGCCCTTGACGGAGCCTCTTCCCAAGAGATCCGAGCGATTCGAGCTACTACGAGACCCCCGCCCCTAAGATACACCTGTGCCTCTCATCCGCCCAATCCCAGAGACACGGGAAATTCAAAGTTGAAATTTTGCAAAAATAAGCCTCCTTTGTGGAATGGAGTGTTGGGGTATTAGACCGCTTGGTTCGCTGCCAAACACCAATAACGCCTAATGCCCGGTACCGTTCGTTCGTTTATGCTGCAGAATGCCGATCAGGCCTTGAGTTCCTCAATCGCACGAGCCACCTCTTTGGTAGCGATCTTTTCGCAAGTCTTTTTGGCATCATCGTCCAGCGTCTGTGGATCGCGAAGGCCCTCGTACAGCTTGCGAGAAACATCTCGGTTGATGTTTGCATATTGATCGGTGGTGAGCTCCTTTGCGCGCCAGTGCGGTTTGAGGGCAGCCCGGACGATGCCGCTGATTCTTTCCTTGGTCTCAAAGGGGATGGCAGATCGCGTAGGCGACGAGTCCTGCGACCGAGCAAAGGTCGGTCGCTGACGGTTCGGCCGCTGTGGGCGAGGCTGGCGAATTTCCGCGCCGTTCGATCGACTGTCAGAGTCACTACTGTCCCCAGCGTTTCGAGTCGGCGAATAGTTGGCCTTGGGGAACCGCGGTTCCACATAAGAGCTTAGAGATAGCGTTGGTGAGCTGGGCCGGGGATGAGGTGGCGGAGTGAGGGAAAGCGCCCGCGGTGAGTTTCGTGATGATGGTGAGGGGGATGTGACTGGTGAAGAGGGGTCAACACCAGAGTGAGTGCCGAAGTAGTTCCGCACAGTCTCGTCGTCGGAGGGTGCGCTCATCTCCACCTCCTTGAGCAGCGACGACAGGAAAGATGGTCCGGGTTCTGTGTTGACGGGATACTGGACGCGCTGCGTAGCGCCGTTCGTCTGAGGCCTCGACGCCAGAACACTCGTCGGCGCGGGTGACGAAGTTATCGTAGGTGCGGGGGCGAGTGCGGACACAGTGGCAGGGCCGGCGCCTGATGCGGTGCCAGATACAGATCCAGATCCCGACACCGAGGCCGAGGCAGAGCCCGATCCGGAGCCTTCTCCCTGTAAAGGCAATCGGCGTGTGCGAGGTCGCTTCAGCTTGCGCTCGGGTTCCTGAGCGGGTTCTTGAGGAGAAGCCGTGGTAGATCTCGACTTTCTCTTGCGGGGATTGGGAGCGCTCGTCTCAGCTTCGCGAGCCCTCTCGAGGGCGCCCCAAGCCTGCTGCTCCTCTCTCGTCTCGGGAGCCGGCGGAGGGGGTTGCATGACGGGTTCGACTGGGCC